CCCCAAAACCCCAAAACCCCAAAACCCCAAAACCCCAGAGGGAAGAATTCAAAGATTATTTAGCTTTAAATGAAAGATGCATACTTAATTAATCAATAAAAAGATAATTTATTTATATCAATCAGAAACTAAACTAGTTTTGTGCAGTGGATTAAATACCTACCATACCAGATCCGGCATCCTATTACTCTTCAAAATAATTGACTAGGAGTTTCATTGCTCTTTCATAAATAGAGTGATTTGGATGAGTTTGAAGCTGTTCAATTTCCTCAAGACCTCCACACATTTCAAGTTCAATAGTAAACTAGTTTTCTTGTCCTCTCTATTTAAATAACTTTTAAAAACATATTGCTTACCTGAGGGAAGTGTTGCTAGCCTGACTTCAAGATATTGTCAATGCCTTCTAAAGCAACGGCTAGGATTCTTGCATCTCTCATTTTTAGAGTGGCTGATAGTGCCTTAAGAATGCCCTTATGAACTAAGACGATAAACTGCTCAAAGGTGGCTCCAGCAGTTGAATTGCTTACAGCCCAAACTGCTTCCTTCTTGATCTCAATATCATCATTTATAAGGATGTTGATTAGCTTGTCTATAATACCTAAGTCTAAGCAAAGCTAGATTTATTGTGGATTTCCAGCAGTGATGTTTGATAGAGACCAGCATACCTCCTTTCTGACAGTCTTCTTCTTGTGGTAGATTATGCTGTTTAGTTGCTCAAGTGCACCTGCATTTATGACAAATTAGGTTTGATCATCATCACCAGTCACAATATTTCCAATGGTTCTAAGGCATGGGACTGAGATTGCGATATTAGGGTGCTATAATAGCTGTATCAATCTTGGGACTACGTTTGTCTCGAGAATTATTGGGATTCTCTCCTCACCACCGTCTGATAAATATGAAATAGCCCAGCACACATCAATAAGAATGTCCTCAACATCATTCTCAATGAGAACTTTAGCAAGTGATGGGACTGCTCTTTTAACTGCATGGAAGTTAGGTGCTGGCTTTCCTCTGCAAAGGTTTGATAAGGTCCAGCTGGCATTTCTCACGAATGAAGAGCCTGGTTGAGCTCTGTCTAAAATGTTTGAAATTGGGTTGATAGCTCCTGCTGCAATAACCATATCTCTAATTTTTGCACCATCTCCTGCAATATTTCCAAGACCCCAGATTGCTTACTCGACCACTTCGAGGTGGGGTGAGTTAAGTAATTCAACTAAGACATTTACTGTTCCCTTATCAATAAGAACTTAGACCTGCTCCTGTTGTCCACTGGCAATATTAGTCAAGCACCAAGCTGCTTCAAACTATTGAGATTCATTAGAAAAATTGTAAATTTACTTGAAGTTTAGGAAAGTCCGCTCTTTGGAGGAATGAGATGAACTTGGGGACTAAGTTGGCATCAATGACTGGTTGAATTGGTGGATTCCTCTCTTGAGACAGAAGTCTTCTGAAGCCAACAGTGGCAAATATGACTTTAGCATCAAGAGTATCTTGGATTAGTTAGAGCAATTTCTGGAAGTCCTGAATCTACAATAAATTTGATTATTAAACTGCTGCAAAGCTGAGATAGACTTACATGAAAAGCCATCTTCTAGGCTTGACTAATGAATTCCTCCAGACTCATTCTATCGATCATCATAAGAGCATCCTCAACACTAATCTAGAGAAGCATGTCATCGCTCAATTGATTTTAAGGACCGACAACCATCTATTGGCTTTGAGTCTCAGTTTGAGTGTTAGGGGTATTGGCTTAGCCTTCTGTGGTAAAGGCTCTCTTTTGCTTAAACATTTCCTCTCTATAGCATGTAATGAGCAACTTTAAATTGACTGATAGATGTCACTTACCTTTTGTTCTTTCTCAGCTATACCGCAAAATCTTCTCTTTTTCTCTTGAGATCGTCATTATCTTTGGATCCTCCACCCACATTATAAGTTTGCTTTAGTCTTTCTTCAGCCAATTCATCAGCAGTCTTCTTTTTCTTGTCTGCTTCGCCCTTATTTGATCTTCCGAAAGCAAAGTCGTCTTGCTAGTTGGCAAATTGATTATTATCAGTTCCTTCCATTCTTGATTTCTTACAATTAATTAGCAATGATTATTTAATAGAGAGTATTTATATTAGACATAATCTACAATTATCTAATTTAATCATCATCATTATTCTTATTATATTAAAGTCATTTAATAACTAGAAAAAAACTATTCATAATCAACTTTTTACAACTATCACCTTGAAATTCTTATACTTTTTCATTCATAGATTTTAGACTGCTACTTCTGATCAATTTTCTATCTAAGACTCATCATTTTATGTGAAAGGCTAACTTCCTGGCTATTTATTTGGGAGAAAAATGAGTTTCTATTGTTATTTGTAATATTGTTGTTGTTTTAAGTTGTGGAGGAAATGTTTGATTGGTTCATATATGGATGATTTATGTTAAGATCATTGTTAATGAAACCTTAGTATTAGCTTTTCAGAAGTATCTTGCTCTATTTTCTCTGTGTTTGATTGTAAGATTGGGCAGATGTCAGGAGACTATTAATATTCTTCTGATTTTGACTTGAATTAATAGGCTTCTTATGTCTCTTAGCTCTAGTATTCATCATGTTTGTTGTGAGTGTTTAACTATTTCTCATCTCAGTGCTAACTGCATTAGTTTCATTGAATTTATTTTCACTATTTCTGCCTCTTTTTTACGACTGGGCTTTTCCTCGATGTGATAAAGTTTTGTCTGTATTACGCAAGTTAGTTTGAGTAAGAGAACACTGAATCTGGTTTATGTTGTTATTAGAACTCGAGAGATACACATTCATAAAATCAAGTTCCTTCCGCTCAAACTATTCAATTAAAGTCTTATTAAGTTTCTTTTGTTGTAGTACATAGCTCATTTGATTTTCAATCATCCTTTTTTATATTTTCCTTAGTCTGATTTGTTTGCCTGCTTTCATGTAATTTTCCTCCTCTTGATCTTCCATGTAGTTTATTGCCTTGTCTGATTCTAGTAAAAACTTTTCAAATTGGCTTTTCTAAAGACCATTGTTACCATTCTGGAAAAATTTGCGCCTTTGCTAAGCAAGAGTAATTAAATCCAGCTACCTAACCTTTTTTTGTTTAAGCTGTTTTTCCTTATCAAGCAAGTCTTAGTCATTAATTGAAAAGCTCTTCAAATTATTTGATTTCTCTATAATTCTCATTTCATTCTGAATGCCAGTGATTATTATCTTGAATTCAGTTGTCAATCGCTTCTAATCAAAGTGTTTTTATGATGTAGCAGATCTCTCATCTATGATGCTTCCATTAGTTAGTTACGCGATGCCTTTCTAGATATGAGCTCTGACTTAAGATTACCTTGCAGACTATAATCTATTCCGCTCTGGAGTTTATCGCCCAGATAAATTTTGAATTGATTGAAGATGCGACTCCTAGGTGGTATCAATCGATTTGAAGTAGAATGTAAGGATTTGTGTTAGCTAAGCTGGGTATGAAATCTTGAGCTTTTATGAAAAATTTGTCATAACAAATGATGTGCTATAAATTCACATTAAAAGATAAATTTTACTGTTGCAAAATATTGGTAAAGGTTGATATTATATTTTCATATTGGAAGCAAGTTCTCTTGTAGTTAAATTGCAGGTGTTCCTTTTTCTGAATTTAATTCATTTGATTTATTAAAAGTTGATTGTATGATGCTTAGTTATCATTGATGTTCTAAAATAGTGTTAAATAAATAATTATTTTTACTAAAAAATCTTAGAGTTAATTTTAATCTCTCTTTAATTGATTCTTAATTTTAGAAAGTTGATCAAGCACTTTTCTCTTGCTTTCAATGTTCTAAGTTAAGTCTTAATAATAGTTTTACATTGAGTTCTATTGAATTCTTATCTCAACATATTTTTGACCTACGAATGCATACTTAAGTTTAATATCCTGTATTATTGGCCACTGTTCCTTGTAATACTATTGATATTTCCTAAGTTTAGCCAGCTTTTCTTCTTTCAATTGCAGCTGTGTCTTTCTTAAATCATATGACTGTGAAAATTCTTCATTGTCAATCTTATCTTTATCTTTAGAAAAGGTTTCAAGATTGTTGAAATATGTTTTAAGCAAATAGAACTCATGGGCAATATTAGTTGAACTACTATGGCTTCTAGATTATTGTGATAAATATGATTTTTTCTCGTAATAACTCTAGAGCATTACTAGCATGCCTGCCCTTTCAATCACATAAAATTCCTTTTCCTTATCTTTGAGAAGTTACTCTTCTCTAATTTATTCCTATTTCATCATCTCACTTTTCTCTTACACCACGAGAATTGATTCTTTAAGCTCCTTAAGCTATCTAATCTTTTTATAATAATCTTATAGCAGTCCATTTGACTGATCCTCCTCGACACTTAGTTCTTTCAACCTACCATCTAGCAGCAAATTTCTCTTCTTTGATTTATCCTTATTTCTCTTCTACCAAGACTTTAGTGTATTAAAAGCAATTATCCTTCGACATCTGTCTAGATGCTTTATTTTTTCTAAACGCTCTTAATTATAGTCCAACTATTCAATGATTGGTTTGATTCGCTTAACCTTTTTCTACTCTGAGAGAAAGATTGCAGCTTCTCTAGATTTCATATTCTTCATTCGTAGCGATTCGATAGACTCTAGTTAAGTTTTATCATTGATCTCACTTAGCTGAGATTTCATCTTAACTAAGTTTACCTGTGGAGAAATGATGATTTAGTTGCTATTGAGATAGTACTTTGAAGGTGTGCTTTAAGAGGACTATAACTTAGCTGTAGGAGAACTTGTTATAGATTAAGAAAATGCTCTTGAGTTAGTATGTAAAGTCTTCTTAAGTTTAGAAGAGCTACTCATATTAAACTAAGGTATATTTAAGTTCGAACTTGATTGAATCATTTATTCTTCAGACTTGATTGATTAAGTTGACCCTATCATAGCGTATTTAGCATTGAGCTCTCTTATAGAATTGAGTTCAACCATGAGCACATCTCTGCGCTCTTGAAGTCTTTTAAATTTGTGTTACAATGCATCATAAATTCGAACTAACTTAAAATTTATCAAAATTCAATTTACCTTTTGCTTGTCATTCGAAATTACACTTTTGTTATGAAAAGTATAAGGGGAGGCTAATTATGAAGTTTAGTTCTCTGATCCATTATAATTACTCGACTGACTTACCATTTTCTAGAGGTCTCTCTGATACCGCTCACTCTGCTATTCTTGCCTTTGATTTAGCTTATACATAAAGTATTATCTGGCTGAGAGGTAGGTCTGAGGGTCTTCTTCATCTAACTAATCTGGAACGTTGAATAAATCTAGTTCTTTCTCAATAACCTTTATTCAATTAGTCTTATATTGCTTTTGGGCTGGACTTTCCTGGAGAAATCCTGGCTTCTTCTCGTTAAAGGATTTTCCGTAGAATGTACTGCGTCGTTTGCTAGCTGATGTCTCCCTCTATATCTCGTAAATATCCTCATCTATGTCATTCTGAAGTGATACGTAGGGGTTTGGCTGCTTGTAAAAACTGTTACTTGAAATTATCAAGTCGCTCATTAAAATATAAATTAATCTTAATTATTTATAATCAAATATATTATTAGATTTCAATGGGTAACACACAAAAAAAACCAGATCTCCTAGATGTAGCTATGGATCTCAAGATGACAGCTAGATCACTGGAAAAGCAATCTCAAAAAGTGGAGCAATTAGAAAAAGCTGAGAGAAAGAAGATTCTTGATGTAATTACTCACTACTCTTAATAATATATTTAAACAGGCTATGAATAAAAACAACATGGAGAGTGCAAAGATTTTTGCAGAAAACGTCATCAGAAATAGAAAGGAAGCACTTAACCTGAAGAGATTCGGAATTAAGATGGGAGCTTTGGCTGCTAAATTAGAATCAGCATATAGAACTCAATAAATCTCAGAGACCATCTCGAAAACAGTTCCAATGCTTCATAATTGCATGAAGAAGATGGATACACTCGGGGTAATCTATCATTTATTCTCAACAATTGAAACTAACCCTTATTGTCTTTGTATAGATCGGTGCTAGCATCTCTGAATTTGAGAATGTATTTGAATCTCTAGATGTTAAAACTGAGGAGTTAAATGGTGCTCTAGAGAATGTCTATGCTACCACTATAGATTAGGGAGAAGTGAATAGTCTTCTTCAAGAAATGAAAGAGGCTCATGGTATTGAAGTTGGCTCAGGTCTATAGAATGCTAACTCCAATGGCATACAGAACTCAAATGCTCAAGTTAATGACATTGATGAGATGCAAAAAAAACTAGATCAACTAAAGCATATGTGAAATCAGTCAGTTTATTATCATGCAATATTCATATGTTAGATTAATAACATCACCATTTCGTCCAAAATGCTAAGAAATCTGATGCGTGGGGTTTTGGGGTTTTGGGGTTTTGGGGTTTTGGGGCTCATCAAT